TATTAATTTTTTTTTCCAAATTATTAGACTTTTTCACTTTTTTTTTCAGCCATTTCCAAAATTCTGATTTTTTTTTTTCAATGATTTATGTTATTTCTATTTTATCTTCTTTAATAACATGTTACCTATGATAATTCTGTATTAAACATACACATTTTTTTTGCTTCTGCATTAAGCATTTACTGTTGTTCTGCACTTCGAAACCAAGATTGATTACTTCTTAAAAAAAGAAAAAAAAAAAGGATTTTTTTTGAATATTCATATTTTTTTGATCTGTCTGTATGACCTCATATTGGTGGTTTACTGTAAAAGAACAACTGTACTACCAATTTATAGTTTAGAAACGATTATCTAGCTTAAACTCGTTTTTTTTTTTACCAAGACATACGGTCTAAGCAATCAAGAGTTTAACTGAAGAGATTGTGCAGATCAATCTATACTTAATGCCTTAAAACGTTTTTCACTGATAATTCAAAAATTGCTTACTGCAGCAGTAATTATGCTGACAGAAAAAGTTGTTACAGCAGACTTTTTTACACTAAGATATCGTAGAAAAGCTGAGTAATCAGTCGTAACCGACTGATATTTCAGCACAATAAACAACTAATTTTTTCAAGCATATCAGCAGGTATTTTGTTTCAAACTGCAAGAAACTTTATCTTGCTATGCATTTTCATTAAAGTTTTTGTAAACACTTTTCCTTTTATCTCCTTGAAAACATTCTGTAATTTTTTGGATCTACAGCTACATACTTGTTCTTGTACCAGCATAGGTTCTGAAAGCATAATTCATGCTGCTTTAGATTTTTACATAAAACAATCGCCCTTAAACAGGCTTAAAATTTTTTGAAAAACTATAAATTTTTCTTTGGCTATAATAATTTATCAAACTTTTTTTGCTAAAAGTATGGTTCCATGCATATCAAAATTCTTTCTTCTGTAGTGCCTCGTAAAATATCTCTCAATAATGGCATTAAACCCCTGATAAATTTGTTCCAAATGACAGTCTTATAGAGAAATCGGTATTACACCAAAGTTTTTTTTGGATTGATAGCAACTTTTTTTTTTAACGACACTTCTGTTACATATGATTTGTGACATACATTACGTCGACATAGTAGCCAAAGTGTTTGATTTAATGCACAAAAAAGTTACGGTGGAATTCCTTGACAGGCTTAACGCTGACTTAATTGGAATGACAATACGCTTATTTCGTATGTGACGACGACGAAACTAATTTTATTGCGGATCAAATTAGTCTTAATGGGAAAAAAACTTTAAAGGATAAATAAATAACTTTTAAGGTACTAAATGACAAAATACCATTTCAAATAAACCGCAGAAATTTAGAACGGTTTTATCAAACCGCTTGTTTTTGTTGTATATCTCTCATTCAGACTTTAGAGTACCTGTAAGATAACGTTCACGAAGTTCACTTATGTCGAACTCTAACAGCATTAAACGACTTTCTTACTTAGGTTCAGTTCTAAGTTCTTTTTATTACGTTTATATGCCTAAGTCTACATGACAAACCGCAAAGGTATATTAATAGATCTATAACACCTTCTGGCTAACCACAACAGTCTCTGTGTCGAATCACGGCTGTTTAAAGTCATACAATAGATGCGCTGTTGAAGCGCGCAACAGTAAACATTAGCCAAGAAGACTTTTAACAACAGAAGAGAAAGTCTTTTAAAAATCATTGAGATGAGGATTTGTAAAAAGCAAGTTTTTATCTGATTGTATTTTTCCAAAAACAGCTTGCACAGCTTAAGCTAATCAACCAAAACTTTGGTCTAATTGGCAATCTTTGTTCTTGAAAGTTACTTTTTTGCTTTGCTTTTGAAAACATTTTTACATTCTGAAGAATTTTTGATTTTGTCAAATTTTCGTTTCCAACAATTTTTTGTTCAAAAAACATTAGATACATTTTTTACCCATTATGAAATTTCAGTTTTCTATCAATCTTCCTTTCAAAAACTACAAAGAGCACTTATCGGTTTTCTACCAAATACTGACTAAAAGAACTTCAGTTTTTTATTCTTGAGACAACTGTAAAAATTAGAAAATATCATTGAGAATTTCCAAGTTTAAGTTTATTTCAACTGATCTTTTGAAAATTTACCTATTTGTTTTACTACTTAAACAGTAAAACATAAAACCTAAAAATATCGTAAAATAAAAACAGTTTGGTGAAGAAGAAAAGTAGACAGTTGTAGAAGTAAATGTCCACAGAAAAAATTGTTCTGTAAAAGGTATCTGTATTACTTGCGATCACTTTAAAAAAACTTTTCTATTGGCAAATTATGGTAAAAAATCAAGGTGCTTACTATTTTAATTCACTTTTTTCTATTGTACGACGGGTTTAATCGATTAAAGATAAGCAAAATTTTTTGAAATGGAACCTAACTTTATAACAAACATTCTTTTGCAGATAATTTTTTTATAAATTTTTTTCAGGTATAACACTTTTTTGTTGCAAACTGTGTACAGAAATTAAAAAAACGAAAAAATTCAATTTGGTTTAAAAAATAACACTAAGGAAAAGTGCAAAATTAAACAGTTGCACTTAGAACAATGAATGGATATCTCTGGAAGCTAAGTTTAATCGCCACTAACTACGAAAAAAATCTGGCTATTAACATGTAAAAAAACTTGCATAACCGATGGTTTATTTGGTTTTTTTTGGAAATCTAAAAAAAGTTGGCATTACAAAGTTTTAAACTTTCTTACATTTGCACTAACGTGTTAATTTATAGAAGCTTTCAACTTGCATCTTCCAGTGGCACCAATTTTACAGAAAGAGTACATTGTCGCGCCTCGGCAAAGAAACAGTGTTTGTTGGATTTCTCGTCTAAGTTGCAAAGTTTACAATTCATGACCTAATTGGTAAAGTTCAAAAGAGTTAAAATATATTCTACACGAATTTTGTTATTCAAGGTTGCTAAAATGAAGCGAAAGCCGTATCTGACACGTGACAAGTGGAGAAGTCTTTTTTGCGATAAACGCTACTAATATTTGCCTAAGTTTTATTTGTACCACTAATTTTTAGGCGCCTCTGTAGAACTCAACAGTGATTCCAAAATGCACCTAAAAGAAGCACTAAAATTAAGCAGAAAAAAAAGCAGACTTGATCATAAATAAGTCTGCCAACGTTAGCACCAATAGGTATTTTAGAAGACATGTAAATCTAGTTTAAAAAATCTAAAATTATTAGCGACAAGTGTTGCTTTACTGATCGAAAAAGTAAGAATACTGCTTTGGCTTCATTCTTATACTCTCATTCGATTAGCTCCTCCATTAAATTAATCTTTTGGCAGCGCTCGTTACACACGTAAAGAAATAAAAAATTGTATTATCGCTACAGTTTTTACGAAAATGCCGGAATAACTTGGAATTACCAATTTGTAAACCTTTATTTTTTTTAAATTCATTAATCTGTTAAGATATTCGAAAGATTTACACAAGAATTCGCTGATAATCTGCATAATTTACAGGTAAATTAGTAAATTTTCTTTATCAGGTCTTGGTAAGATGCTACTTACAGTGGGACTTTCAAACTAAACAGTTTGTTCTCGTATCTTTGCATGGTGATACTGAAGTTATAAATTATTTTTTGTTTAAAAAAGGATGACTAGCGTATGCAAATTAGGTTTCCGCTATTTGTATGCAGCGATGACTAAAGGTTTGCCAAAATTAAGAGTTTCTCTTACTCGACACTTTCAGAAGCGTCAACAAATAATTGCAAACGTCACAACTGACAACATTCGGGAACTTTTTCTTATTGGTCCAAAAAGTGCGATTTCAAAGCGAGAACAATGTTTAGACAATTAAAAATACTTGCAAGTGAAGCTGCTGCTACAGTATCCAAAAGTTTGTTTGAGATACTTCCACCAGTATTTTGTGCAGTCTTAGTGTTTTTAGATAAACTTAGCAAGCACACTCTGGAAGAAAGAGAAGGTACAGAAGATTAGGAAAGACTTAGAAGTGCAGTATTCAAAGGTTTGCTTACAGTGTTGCTTTATACTGCTCAGATGAGCAGAGTCGATACAGACTGCAGCATTATTCTCAAAGTTTATAGCGTTGTCTGTGCAACCTATATATATATATAAAAGAAACTAAATAGACAGAAAGATTAAAAAAAAGTTTTTTTTTACTTTTATTTTTTTACGAACTCTAATATAAACTTAATTTTCTGTAAAATTTTATTTTAAAGCAGGTAAACTTTGATGAAGCATAATCTGCTCTATAAAAGATCAAAAAAAGAAGCTTGTTTCGCAACGTTTGTTTTTCTGCGTTTGATTTAGTGTTTCAGCTGTCAATACTTTCGCGTTCCATATAAGATTATGTGTGTTTTTAATGTTACTAGCTGCAGTTGAAGTTGATAAGATCGCTGTTGAGGTTGTCTGAGTTGTTGTTGCTGCAATTTCAGATTAAAAGACGAAATGCTGTTACGGCCAAAAAAAAAAGAAGTAGGCTGAGCAGCGCGGAAAACTCACAATTGGTGCCATTGTCACAGTAACCACAGGTTTGCTTGCAATATTGTTTCATAATATTTAAATAGGCCGAATTAGTGCAAAGAGAAACATTCTCCTCGCACCTTTCAAGAGTGTTTGTGCAACCTGTATACAAAAAAGAAGCTGAACAAGTTCAGAATAAGAAAGAAAATAAGTTTCTTTATTTTTATCTAGTGAAATTTTGCTGTAAAATTTACCTGTGTTAAGCGTTTACTGTAAAATAATCTAAGAATTATTAATCTGCTAATTTGTATTGTAGTAATTGAAGTAGTTGGAAAGGGTAGGGCTTTTCCACCAAGCAAACGATTCTTCGGTGAAATTAAACCTGACTTATGGTTTGCAGCACTTCTTCTCTTAACGATCTAATGCTCTATCTGCTATATTTTCCGTCAGAGTACTTTTTTTTTTCTTTGAAGAATTACTAATACTTTTATGTTACTGACAGTTGTTGGAGTCGCTGTCGTTCTTACTGTACAGTAATATTCTACTCATTCGTGTGTATCTCCGCAACAGGACTGATTAGCGCATCAGCATTTGCTTTTATAGCACGAGATGTATTGCTCGAAACATTGAGCCATGTCACCGCACCTGCAGTTGTCTGATACATATGGATTACAGTATTTGGTACAATTCGCGGCGCCACATCCATACCCTTTAAAGCATTTTCAGCCGCGGAACAACGTATAATGTGTTCAGTTACATTGCACTGGCAATAACCGCAAAAGCACAATTCGTCCTCTCCACAGTCGTTATCGGATTCAAATTCTCAAGAAACGAAGTAAAAAATCAAACGCAGAGATGGATTGAACGGAGGAACTTTGTAGAACTTTTAAAAACAGTATTTTAAGAAACGGATTTTGATTAGTTCTTGTTTCTTAAAAAGATAATTTTTACCAAATTTACTTTTTTATTTTTTTTTTGTTTTTTAGGTAAGGTATTATTCAATTTTAACTTTTTACAATTAGAGCAATATTCCTGAAGTACAGTTTGTTTTGGTCTTTTCTTGTAAAAGAATTCCTCTCACATTTTATCACTTTTGGAATTAGGAAAGATAACAAAAGTGAAAATATTCACCAATATTTTTCTGAGTTTTACTTTGAAAATATTTGCTAATTAACAAGTAAATTTTGTTTACCAACGTAGTCGAAAGCCTTCGTCTGCGAAGCAAAGACTACAGTGAGGGGCAGAAAGATGTGGTAAGCCATTGTTTAACAATATTTTTTGAGATAGTAACAGCAAATTTGCTTCAAGAGTATCGTTTTAATGCAGTAAAAATCGTGAACTTCTTCGGAATCTTTTTGGATCTCTTGACTCTGAGAAAAAAAAAAATTTTGGTTGGCAGAAGCAGCTAATCAGATTTTTTGTTTTGTTTTCTAAAAGCTTAGCTTTTTTCCTGTTGATTTTTCCAAAAAATTTATTTTTTTTTTGTTTTGAAATTTTTAGTTTTTCTTGATTACTGACTTTTTTATTCAGCACTATCTCAGTACTGTTACCCAGAAAGTAAAAAATTATTGGTTTTTTTTTCATAATTTGCCGTGTGCTTTTTTGATTTATTTGGCCTCAAAACATACTGTCTCTATAGTTCATAATGAAAGTAAAAAAAGTTCTTTTTAAAGTTTTCAAAAAAGCATAAATTGTGTTCAGTTCTGCATAGATTGTTGCCGTTTGATGACTGTCTTGTTCAAGCTGATGACCAGGTAAGTAGGTGTTAGAAATTTTGAAAACATTGTAGATTTTTACACAGCTGCCTTTCACGCTGCAGCATAACAGCTTTTAACCGTTAGCAAAAGCGGATCTTAATTGTAAAGGCAATACTTATTTTGAGCCTCACTTGAGGAATATGTGAAAGAGTATACAAGTAGGTATTAGATTTTTCGTCAAAAAAATATTTGAAAACTCCACTGCGTTTTTGTCTTATTTGATCAAATGTGCAGTTTTGGTAGTAGTTTGAGCTTTTACTGATCTGCTCAAAGACCGCCTTATTTTTTTCCACATCAGTTTTCTTACTTCAGAATTGAAAATTTTGATTTTATTTTATTATGCCTCTAAGCCTTATCCGCACTGAAAACCTAATCTTGTATTTTATATTGTATTTTTACAAATATTATTGTAAACTGCTAGTAAAGTCAAGGCAAATAATAAAATCAAGACTCAAAATTTTATTTATTAAGAATGGCGGAAAAGAGACATAGAACGATTTCTGAGCAGACTTATATAAACTATTAGTTTGTTATTTTACGGAATAATACAATTTTTTTGAGCAGTATACTCTTGCTTTTAAATTTTTAAAGAGCAGCTATTAATATTTGTATCTAACTGCACAGTTTTTGAATACTCTTTAACCGGAACTTCAGAAGACAGTATACTAGATAAAGCTTTTAAAGTTCAAATGCATTTTTTGTGTTACTTGTGAAAACTTTTATAGTTATACAGAAAGCAGATTTGCAGCAGCTTTTATAGTTGTGAATTTTTGCTTTTTGTATGGGCAATACCGAGGAAACACTTCAAAAGTTTTAAGCAAATTTTTTCTCATTTAGTGGTTTTTCAAAACTATTGGTCAACATTTTTGAAAGCCTAAATTTTTTAAAAGATGTATAAATTGATTGCACTGCTTAAGCAGTAGTTTGAGGTACTACTAATCTGTTCAAAAAACCATTTTGCTTTCTTTATACATGTTTTTACAATTAAAAGCTCTTGAATTCAGAGATTTAAAAATTAGGGACGGTTTTTTAAGTGTGATAAAATTTTTGCTATGAAAAGTCGTCGAACTAAAAGATAAAATTTAAATTTCCAAGACTTTTACCTACAAGAACACTCGTAAGAAAATTGTAATACGATAATTTAGAAATCATAGAAATGCTTCTGAATGCTTAAAAGATTAGTTGCTGAAACTAGGCACCCTAAATCGGTAGTATTCTGGAGCGGCTAGCAGATAGAAAAAGATGGTTATATTTTAGTCAGAACATCCAGCAAAACTAATTTATGTGACAAAAATGTATCTGTCATTATACGCATACGGCAAAAAAAAATAATTTTATTTGGTTTTCTGCACTGCACTTCAGCATTGTAACATCGGTGTAGTTTTTTCTGTTTTCTAACGTTTGGGACATCAAACATCATTGGAAAATCCCATCTTCAATTGACTATATTTTTTTTACTAAAGAAAGACTACAACGAGTATTTCTTAGTATCTCATAAAAAAACTCTGTTCTATACGATTTTGTTCTTGTTCTTAAAGTAACGCTTAGTTTAAGGAAACTAGGGAAGTCTTTATACATGTATGTTTTACTGCAGCTGCTTTATGCATTGTGAACAGCTCCGAAAAATTTATCGTTTCAAAAAGCAATAATTTAAAGCAATAACTTACACACTAAAAAAGTCAAAATTTAAATAACACTTTGTAAAGATATACCTCTTTTTTAAGTTTTTAAAATTTATGTGATGTAGGATGGGTTTCTGTAGTTTTTTTCAGGATGTACATTAAGCAAATAAAGCAAGTATAGTTTATGACTTGTTTTCATTTCGTTAGCACTGCAGTTTATGTGTCTTTCTTGTACAGCTACTTCTTGCTTGATCGTTTTTTCCACACCATTTTTCTTCATATTTCGCAATGGCCCTCTTCCTTCTTATCGGCTCTTTATATAATTTTCTACCGATCTCGTATGTCAAGAAAAAATCTAGCCTATGCTCATAAAATTTGTTCAAAATCACTATAAATTGATTTTGATTGTCTATTTTCTAACTGCAGAATTATTGAAAGTATAATTTAATCAAAAAATTAAAAAAGAACCTTGAAAGTTTTGCAAGTAGCAAATTCATCGCTAATTGACTGCGTATAGGTGCAAATAGATTACGCCAGTCTATTTCTGTACTTTAATTAGTGTCAAAATTGATCATACTGAGTGGATGGGTTAGAGGAAAACAGGCAAAGATGGGTAAGATTTTAATGAAGCAGACAGAAACAGTTGGAGTAGTTTTATGAGAAGAATGTAATAATCGTACAAAGGTTTGTCATCGGCGGTTTCCAGGGTTGTTGAAAGACAATGAATACCGTTTTAGTGACGGAGGTTAACAGATATTTGTTTCTCTGCCTAAGGTCTTCAGCTCAGAAGAGTTAGTGAGTCTAATCACCGTCGACGACGATAGACAAAGCGTCAGATAGCCGTGTGATGAATTAAACCGAATGAAACAGTTTTGCAGAACAAAAAAGCAAACGATAGAATATTTGGACAGTAATTGCCATTACAGAAGACCTTACCAAAAAATGTTTTTTTTTTAGTGACTAGCATCTAGTTTTTTAGAATATTCAAATAATATTAGAAAACATAGAATTGAAAAATGTATCTGTCTATTTATAAAATAAAATATTTCTTTTGTTTAATATTAATTGTCTATTCAAATCCGGGAATAAAATTGCTGTAAAAATAAAAAAAAAAAATTATCCTAGTTTTTTTGTCTGTTTGTTTTGCTGTCTAAAAGTGTTGAAAATAAGATGAATAATGTTGAGGAATGAAACAAAAAAAAACTGGATTATTACAAAGTTTTACAAAAGACTGTCTGAGTTTAAAGTATTTTATAATAATAATAATAATAATAATAATTATTATTATTAT